GGAAAGGAAGGAGGAGGAGGAGGAGGAGGAGGTACTTCAAGTTGAACAGGGTCAGTCGGACTGCACGTATACTGTCGAGGTCGGTCCAGGGAGGGTATTTTTGTGTTCTTCTTGTGTTGTTGGATGATCTTGTGCATCTTGGGGGAGGGTACCCTTGGAGGTTCTGTGTTTTGGCCAGCGGAGGGTCTCATGTTCTCGAGGGGTGCCGTTCTGGCCTACATTGGAAACCCATGCCAAGAAACTTCCTGCTTGCCCTGGGTTTCTTGGATTTCGAGGCTCTTGCGATGGAAAGCATGACGCTTCCATACCAAAAATCAATACACGCCCTGGGGTCTTAGGGTTGGTTGTTTGTGGAAGGCTTTTTGTGGTCGAGCTCATGCTGCAATCTGTTCGCGGCGAAGTCGGTGAGCCGTTTTGCGGCCCGCCGTCATAGCCACCCAGTCAAACGGCCGGCGCTGGAGCCAGCTCCTCCGTGCCTGGCGATGCAGATATCATGGTTTTGATGTTGCCAAAGGAGATGAGCGCGGTCCCCTAGTTTCGAGCGTGGCCCGTATTCGCTGCACTGGAGGCTGCTCCACCACCACCTCGTCGGTCGAAGAAGGACAAATTGCATAAACGTAAACTGTTGGCGCTTCGCGCGGATTTCTTGGATCCGCGCTGGGCCCCCGCGGCGGCGCTTCCGGAGCCGCACCTGGCGCGCTCCGCGCGCCAGGGAGGGGGGTCAGTGCAGATCCAAGATTGAAGCCAAACAGGGGGAGGAAGGCCAGGAGGAGGAGGGTCATAGCCCCGACGGATCAGGGCAGGGGGTAGTCAGGGACAACTGCAGATACGGACCTCCCGCTTCTGCAGCAGAGTTTTCGCGGGACGCATTCTGCCACGTGTGGATGACGTCCAGGGTTACCTGGGAGGAGGAGGAGGAGAGAGTCTTAGCTCAGAATCTGCACATATCCACTGCCTGGGGCGCAGATGTCTCAAGACCCCAGGGGGCAGTGGATCGGAGGTCGGGGGTTCTTGTCGCGCGTGCGGATGAGGCGAACAATTGCGCGGGGTCGACTCTGTCGACCACGGCTGAGGCCAAAACGGG